AACGTCGCCGTCGGACCAATGTTTGCTGGGTATTTACACATTTTTAGGAGAAAATTAGTACTGAGAAGGTAAGTTATTTTTCATTTATTTACAAAAGTTATTTTGAAAGGCAAAGCTATTAAAAACATTAAAGTTTATTACATTTTATTATTATGAATTAATTATTACTATAACTAAACTTGCATCTTAAGTGGTAATAATGTTATATTTTTTCAGAGACAAATATTCAGGTCTGTTTCCTTCAAAACCATATACAAGAAACGACAGTATAATGGGATTTGGGCAAGAGTGTCTCGATCATTTAAAAAAACCCACTTTGAGCACACTTCAAATGGAAGAGATGACTTCGTTGACTGTGGAAGCAACCATGATGTTGATGGTGAACTAGGTCAAGGACAGCTGGATTTGTTTCAGGACCCAGACATGCTTACTGCAAATTCTGACAGTAGTACAATAGAAACTTCTTCTTGCTGTGATTTTCCTTCTCAAGATCAAGTTCATAATGCTGCAGATGTGAGCGATTCAGAATCAGAAAGTGAAGGACGTTATTCAGGCAGTAGTTCTCTGAGGGAAGAATTAGCCAGATGGGTGGCTATGTTTAATGTCAAGCACAATGCAGTTGACTCTCTTATGAAAGTACTGGTAAAACATGGACATTCTGATCTGCCTACCACCGCAAGAACATTAATGGGAAACACACAGGCAATTCAAATACAAAATGTGTCAGGGGTAGAATATGTTAAGTTTGATGTCAGACAAAGAATCCTAGATCATTTGCAGTCCTACCCTTTAGCCGTGCTAAAGTCCTTGAATGCTTTGGAAATTTCTTTAAACGTGGATGGGCTACCACTGTTTAAAAGCAACAACCGAGCATTCTGGCCAGTTTTGTGCTCTATTGATCTTGACCCAGTGTCTGTCTTTCCATTATCGCTTGCAGTGGCTTCATCAATACCTACATCTATGGACTTCATTAGTGATACGGTTCGTGATCTGGCTAATTTATTAGAAACTGGAATCGAGTTGGAAGGGAGAAATCTAGCAGTACACATTAGGTGCATTATTTGTGATGCCCCAGCAAAGGCCATGGTGAAATGTGTAAAGCAGTACTCTGGTTATTATGGCTGTGAAAGATGTACACCAAGGGGAAGATGGCTTGGTAGAATGACTTATCCGGAGGTGACAAATCTGACGCTGCGGACTGATCTGACTTTCAGAGAACAAACGTATGCAGAACATCATCAAGAGGAAAAGATTTCCCCTTTCTGTAATCTTCCAATTGACACTATCAGGTGTTTTCCTGTTGACTACATGCATCAGTGTTGTCTAGGAGTTATGAGAAAATTGCTGTTCCTGTGGACAAGAGGCCATTCCACAGTAAGACTGTCTCCTGTGCAGGTAAAAGAAGTTAGTCATAGATTAAATCAGCTAAGGAGTGCTATGCCAAGATGTTTTGCAAGGAAGCCATGTGGTTTGGAAGAACTTGAAAGACAGTAACAGAAAAAGGACAGATACAAGGAAAAGGAAAGTAAAATGTAAACTATGAAGAACATGCGTCATTGTCAGTTTTCTATAAATTTGCTGTTTTTTGTTTAAGCAGTTTCAATAAAGCGAAATTCTCAAGTGACGACCATTTAGCTACTTTACTTTTCATATTAATGTCAACATCTTTTGTTCATTTTTGGTGTTGTTTTGTCTCTGATATTTATACAGGTAGGAGCTATATTGCTATTGGACGCGGAACAATGCTACCAAAATGGTGAAAAGAGGGGATATGGCAGACAAACAACTATGGCCTAAATACCAAGTCAGAGTCTTCACGTTTACAGGTAATTTTTTATTGCAATCCTGCTTTTTCATTGGACACGGTAGTGATGATTTTCTCTAATCATGTACAGGTGCTGTTGTTTACTGTGAGGGATTTTTACTGTTTATGCCAAATTGCTTTATCCACAGACAACTATCAATTGGCAAGGGACAGGGCACAAAAAGGACTTGAAACATCTAATGTTGAGTCCGATAGGGGCAGTGTGAGGAAGGTGAGGCGTCCTGCAAGATTTATAGAGGACTCCTCCAGTGAAGGTTCTATTACATTCTGACATTTAAAAAAGTTGCAAAATTGGGTTGCATTACTCCATTAAATAAATAACTTATTACCATAAAATCAGTGATTGTGATGCAACCAAATGATCTATCTTCACTAAATGAATATGAGTATGACAATGAAATGTTTGAATTCTTCTCATACTGATTGATTACATTGTTTACTTGTAATTATTATATACAATAAAGAGAGTGATACCAGTGACCAATAATGTATGCATTTTAAATTAGAAATATTAATAGTACATTGCATAATTATAAACATCTCTTATGAGTCTTCCTAGTAACCACTTCAACCGAACGTGCTGAACTGGCTGACTTGTGGATTGCCGAGAGTGAGGAATAGCAATAGCCAAAAAGCCACTTCATGAACCATTTGCTGTATTTTGTGACCCCACTAGATGGTGCTCTTGGATTACTTTAGGGCATGTTTGAGTCATTTTTTTAAACAGAGAACATCGTCAAGTGGTGTCAGAAAATACAGTAAATGGTTCATGAAGCGTCGTTTTGGCCATCATTAGTTGAGAGCAGTGAGCTGGAGCCCCCATGCGTCTGGGCATGGGGTTAGGGTTAGGGTTAGGGTTAGGGTTAGCATTGCCTCTGCATTGACTTTTAGCATTCAGGTGTCTCATAAAAAGCCGCATATGAATTCATAGACAATGCTGAATGCAAAACAAGGGGTGACACCAAGAGCAGATCCCCCTTGGCCATGAATTCCTTTAGCCCCTGACACATAAATGACTCAGGAGGGAAGACATTTTCATTGATACATCATCCTGATTGAACCGGTTATTTAGTTTTGTATACTGAAATGCAAATGTGTAACCTTGACCTACTGCCTAGTGCACTTTGAGTTCCCCAGAGATCACATAGAATTATCTTTGAGTACCAGAAAGCCCTACTGAACATGGGTGACCACTGGAGACATCACTGAGGAGGTGCTGGTTTGGGCCTCACCCCTGAACAACCGGTTGACCTGTAACCAGTTCAATTAGTTAGAAGAAGGATGAAGATGTCTAATTTTTAAACTGCTACTTGCCTGAAGGAATTGAAAGACTTTGTCTCCACTAAAACAATACAAAAACTTATTTTAAACTATCACTACCACCGGTATATAAAAAAAACTTTTTATTGATGCTAACCGACCCCCACCCCCATTGATAAAGAGAATAGTGAATAGTGCTCAAGTTGACCTTAATCATTCTCCAAAGTTATTGTCTACTGCTCCTCTCAGCTGCCTTTGTTCCAGGCTGAAGAGATACTCTGCTTCTACATATCAAACCTGATACCCACTTGCTGAACTTAGTAAAAGAGTGATGCCCCTTTAAAAGAACGCAGACATCACCCTTTCTGATTAATTTTATAACTTTTGCATAGTGCATTACATGAGCCACACACATACAGATTGCAGACCTCTAGAATGCACTCCTGTTACATAGCCATTTTCAGTCTCTGCCTATACACTACTCCTTTGAACATTTTACTGCTTACTTTATTCATTTATTCAGTCTGAATAAATCATTTTATCATAGTTTTAGTGATTTCTGCCACATACTGAAAGAAATGTAAATTAATTAAGGTTTAATTTATTATAATAAGAGATGTGACAGCAGATTTAATAGATAGTGAATCTCTGGCGTTTATCACTTGAAATATTACTGTATGATAAGTAGCCCATTATTTTATATTTTATATATTTATAGCCACTGTAACTTTGTCAGTTACTAATATACGATATATCATGGTTTCTAACCCTATTTTTATGGATTGATATTATTTTACATTATTTGCGTGTTTCCATTTTTGCTGTTCTATTTGTAATTGAATAAAATTATTATGTTTTATCAATATAAATCTGAAGATAAATCTCAATCTTATCTGGAAACCTCTATTAAACTCTGTGAGTTTGTTTTAAGTGTCATGTCAAAGGCAAGGATGGAGGCAAAGGCAGGCGTGGGGAAAGCCAAAAGGGGCTTTATTAAATAAAATTACACGCAGGGCAAAATTAAATGAACCATGAGGGGTCAAAATGGGGTTGGGAGGATCAGGCAAGAACACTGGACACAGGGCAAACTGGGAAGCACACACAGGCAGCAACATCAATGACTGAACTGAGGAGCTCAAGCCACGGAGGCACTACGAGGGAGCAGACGAGAGGCAGCTGGGGTGATCCACACAAGGGCTGTAATGAGAGGCTAGACTAAACAAGTAACGAGCCGCACAATGGAGAGAACGAGGGGGAAGTAATGCAGGGTGTGATATTAAGAATAACTTTCAGTATGAAAATCTAATCTTAGTTTTAATGAGTAATTGTTAATGACATTTAATGGGGTTCTATGTAATGAAATTTTGTCATGTTATGAAGTTTAGTAAATGATCCTTTGGCATTCAAAAAAAAAAGTGAGAGAGTTAGGATGATTCCAAGGGTTCCCGAGTGACAGCAGCCCTATAAACTGGGGGGGGGGGACAATATGATATGCTCTCATGGGGCTCGAGATCTCTAGCAACGCCCCTGACCTTAACCATAAATAAACAAACAAAATACAAGTCTTTTGGCATTTTTATTTTTTAAATTGCAGTCACAGAATTTGCAGGGAACAAAAAATGCCCCCCTTAACATCACAATAACCGTTTTTATCACAGTAATGTATGTCTGACCCCCCACCACATACACTATGCTTTTCTTGAGTCTGGTTGCTATGGCAACCCCCATTTGCATTAGATATTTAATCACCGAGCCTACAGAGTGGGTTGTTATCAAATTAAGGGATAATCCTGGCCACACGGAGATCTCACAAAAACTATTTCCCAGCAGGTCTGGGGTACCAGGCTCCCTGGAACTGCTCCCCTTTGTCTCTCCATCTCCACTGAGAAACAAGTAGGCTGAAGCCTCTGCGGTTCAAGAGGTGACTGCAAAACAGAAGCTGGTTCATCGGAATTCACAGGGGATCTGCTTTGGGTGGACTTAGGTGTGTCGGGAGAGAACAGATGTTTGGCTGCCCTCTAGAGGACGAACAAAGAAGGAGAGATGACAGAGTCATGTTTTGTTTGGAGAAAATTCGACAGGGGCAAAACTTTCAAATGATGTGGCAAATTAATATTGATTCTAATACAGGTGTATAATATAACATCTAGTGTAGGCTCTAAAATAAAGAAATTTATAGCTAGGAAAAAATCTCTTGAATGAATCTTTTTCACATTTTGCATATAGTTTACACCACAAAATAAATAATTTATTTGCTTGAAAATATGATTAATGTACCCCAGGACACCAATTAGTAATGATGGTCAACCAGTGGAAAAAAATATGTAAATAAAATAAAACTGTAATTATCTAATTGAAAAGAATACAAAACAAGATTTTAACAAAGAAATAGTAACAAAACCTGCTATAAACCTATATACAGTACTGAAATACTTAAGGCACAAGGGTAAACAGAGGCTAATGTGCTGTGAGATGCATGATAAATGCACACAGGGGATCCCATGTGTTCTGCGCTTAATAAAACCATTCCTGCCCACGCGGAAGACTGAGGTCATCCAGCGGGGAATGCGCGACTTGCTGCAAAAGATGAACAATTAAAAATCACCAGCTGTTCTCATCACCATCTGTACCTGCCAGAACCTGGTCTACTTGCTTAATTAAAATCAAATCCCGAACCACTTAATCATTTCAGCACCCCCACGCGTACCTCTGCCTGCACACAAACGAGCACGAGACCTTGTATTGTATCTGATGTAATTCTCTGACAGTGTGACAAACTGACTGCCACTGCACTAAATTCATCGCAATGTTTAATTGGACATTAGGCATCAAGTCCGTGAGAAAATATTATGCTCACTTTAAATAAACTGAAAGCATAAAATGTGCTTTCATAGGGAATTAGAAAACATTGTGTCATTTTGTCAAACAACCATTAGCAATGAACAGTACAGTTTTATGTGAGACATTTTGATATATTTGAGATACTGACTAAACGCTCATAAGTCACCGTGGAAGCATTAGGTACCCTCACTGCAACTTTATCATACATGGGCTTATTCTCCCATACATTGTCGTTGAACAAGGAATTTACAAACTTTAGGCTTTATATAGGTCTACGGGCTATTTGTCATTAAAAATAGTGTACTGTATAGCAGTACTGCGATTCAAATGCAAATGAGAAAAAGGAGTAAAGGTAAGCCTACATAAAAATTGTCGAAATAACATTATTTTTACTAAACTATACACAAGTAATGTTTTTACTAAAGCGATCAAATGCCGTTCGACGCAGTTAATACAATGAAACATCACACGTTTCTCAATTAAGAAGAACAACACGACTTTTTGCTGGTCGGTTATAAAAGCATGCGATTTTATAGAGTTTTGCAGAAATAATGGCTAAAGCAATATCGTAAACCTCTAAACGCAATCATTAACATAAAACATACAAACTCATTGATCTGATGTAAACAATTATAAAAGTTTCCAGCTTATTCAGATGTGGATGATATATCGTTTCGACAGTAACCCTGATATTTCATGAGTAATTAGGCCTACATGTATATATGTTCCTCGCGAACCTAACCAGCATAACCGACTAATATGGATGGATGGATGGATGGATGAAATAATATATCGTTCCAGAATTTTTATAGATCTATAAAATAACTCTTAAAATTCCCTTAATTATTAGTAAATTAGCGAGAGGCCATCAAAGTGCTCCAGGTGGCGTCCTCGAGGTTTCAGATATGACATTACATCCAGACTTAAATGTTCTGGACCGTGATTCAGCTTCAAAGTAATTTTAGGAAAATGTAATATTTATTACGTCACGGCATGCCATCACGTCATCCTTCGCTATGCATGTGACGCCAACATTCGCCCGCTATCAAATTATCTAAAGGAACTGAACAAAGAGTAAAGGGAAAATAATGGGATTATACATAGAATTTATTTAATCAAAATATCAGGTTTGGGCTGACAGATCTGACGGCTTTGCGGATGTAACGTATCAAATATGGTTTTTGAAGTTGCACGGATGAGACAGGCGCCCAGGGACACCGAGTTAAATTAATTAGATGTGATACAGCTTCACAGCAGGTTCTGAAGATTCATTCATACCACTATAAAGAGACCTCCCAGGCTCGTGATACGTGTAGTTTTCTGGTTATCTCCTAAAAAGATGCGAAAATCACCTGTTTTACAGATTATAGACGAAAGCAGATAAGCTTTCCCTCTCAGCTTGCAGTCTATTGTTAACTAGAAATATCAAATAGGAAAACCAAACTGAGAACTGCACTAATTTTAATTGAACCAAATGTACTTTTTAACTTTGATTAATTAGAAATAAGGTTGGTAAATATAGCAGTACTTGAAATTCTCTCGCAGCCATGGGATTGCAGGTTTTTGTTCCAAAAAATGTCTGAAATAAAAATGTGCACACATAGATTTACCTTATGTCCACGTGGGTAATGTCTGTGTACTTTGGATTCTTTCCACAATCCAAAAAACATGTGGTTTAAGTCTATATGTATCTCTAAACTGCCTGTAGTGTGCCAGTTAACCACACGCAAGCATTTTCGCAACACCTCAATGAGATAAACCAATGGATTAAGCAGACCTTCTTGACCAACTTTTACAGTTCCAAATTTGACCACTAGAGGGTAGCACGTAGTGACTTGCGGGCTATATGCATATCAATCCTCACGGCTTCGATAGATCCATTTTCCCCGGGGCTGGCCCAGATTTTGCCTGATGGCAACACGAGCGTCATTAAAATGTCCTAATGCTTGTGACATGTTTTGTGTGGGCTAAACATTTGATTATTGCCCCCTGTTGGGAACCCTGATGTAGTCGTTCAGCTAATTTGGCATAAAATGCTTTTACTCTCTCTACCCACGAAATACCACTGAAAAATAGCTCAGATGTTGTTCTTTGGAAAGGCTCCTGTCATTGTTTTTACTGTATGAGAGTGAGGGCAGCACAGACATGTCTTAATCTTAAGAAGCTCTTTTGTATTGCTTTAGCAGAGCCCTGTGATCAGTCACTGAACATTCCTTTTTTATTACACATTCACTTAGATGACACCCTAATTACGAGCCCCAGAAACATGACATGGAAATAGGGTGTTTTCCGAGGTAACTGAGGGTGGCTGTGCTGAAGCTTTCAGATACGATGACTGTAACTACACACGGCCCCTCTGGGACGCCTGTCTTAATGCTGAAAGGGAACAGAAGCTTTCAGCAGGCTGTTTAAGGAGCCAGCTGGCGATCTCTGGCCGGGGTTGGGTGCAGTAACCACGCCGAGCCCGATGAGCCTGACTAACCCACTCCCTCCGTATAGCCCGAAAAGCCGTGTGACCTTCCACCATGCTGACGGTTTGGTCTGACAGCCCTGACCAGCTCTGTGGGGGGAGGAGCCCATTAGGAAACAAATTCCACGGAAAGCTTCTCATTTTTCCATCTTACCCGCTTGGTAATGGCACCCGCTCCTGACCTAATGTTGCCGCTGTTGTGTAACCAGCGTGGGCTGCGCACTGCTGCGTGTCACGTTATGAAATAGCAGTGTTGTGGCAATACTTTGCGTCTGGGGCAGAGGGTGTTTGAGTGTTTGAGTGGCGCTTCTCCTTTGCCTTTGACTGCCAAGCTCTGTCTGCTCCCAAGGGGCCTGATTAAGTCCCTCTGGTCCATATGGCCAACCTCTTTCTTTCCATCCATCCATCCATCCATCTGTCCATCCATCCGTCTCAAGGCAGGGGAACACGCTAGACAGGATGCTGGTTCATCACAGGGGACACACACGCAAAATTGCATTCAAAGAGTCATTTAGAGATACCGATTCCGCTAATTGTATGTTTTTGGACCGTGGGAAAAGCCCTAAGTACACAGAGAATACCTGTACAGACAGAGAACCCCCACCCACATGTGCTGTCACAGTCCTCAGCGTAAAGCAGCGCACGTGTATTAAAATTTCTAGAAATATCTAGTTCATTGTTTGTTGTCGTACGGTGTAATTACGGATGATTCTCTCTCATACCTTGCCAGCCCTGCAATTATAGTTGCAATCCTGTCTGATGGAATTAACATCTGGTTAACAGATGACCTTTCCATCACACCCACAGAGGATTAAGTAAGAAGTCAGTCAACTTCCAACCAGAACCCAGCAAGAATCAACAAACAGAAAATAAAGAACGTCTCTTTGTTTTTCTGAATTTATACTGAATCATTACATTGTTCTCTTTGTTGACTTTTCTTTATTTAGGATACAAATTACACAGCAGTTGCAAAACAGGTCATGCTAGTTTTTGGGAGGTTGATTTGACAATCCTGCAGGCTGAATCCTCTTTTCAGCACTATCTGGATTAATAAATTAGGATTCATTCACACACCCTTTATATAAACATAGTCATCACTGTAGTATTCATTTAGGTACTAAACTCAATGACAATAAGCTCAAGGATACAGGTCTGCAAATCCTTTTTGGACTTGAACCAGGATCTTGCAGTTGCTGTGCTCTTCTGAGAATGAGGATGAACTGGATATAATTACTTGGGATACAGGCCAAGGTGGTAACTTCAAGGTGGGAGTGCTGATAATTACTGTACCTGTTTGTTTTCCTAGTGTGTTTTCACATATAAACGGGAAAATAAAATTGTGCCTTTCAATATTTAATATCTTTCCCATAATGAGCTGCCATTCCATCCAGGGTGTTACCCTGCTCTAGAGAGTCAAGATCCCATATTCCAGTGTTGGATATATATTTAGATAATGGATGGAATTATACATGCACACCTATATTGGTTTGTTTTAATAACCCAAATACATTCTGATAAACCGTAGCAGTTTGGACGGAACTATCAGCCGTTTTGGAAACTGGCCTCTTCCATCACCCTCCATAGTAAAACAAAACAAAAACAAACAGTTTCTGATGAGTGAATTTTCGAAAACAGCACAGTGCAAAACAGCCTTAAATGAGATTCTCGCTGACTGTACGACGCATATGCTGTTTGGCTAATCGTGGAAAGAAACGCCAACAAAGTTATGAATAATTTTTCCCTGATCGGTGTGAGTTAGGAGCCCATGCCTGTATCTGTAAGGTTGCTGGTTCAAATCTGTCGCCAGCAGAGTAATTATGTTGCTGTTGGGGCTGCTTTGCTCTGTATGTGTGTGTTTGTCATAGGAGAGCAAGATAGGCAGAGACTGAGATTCCATTGTACTTGCTACCTGTATAGATATGGTATTATAAACCACCAAGAAAGAGGGCGCCTTACAGGCAATAGAGTTTTCTCTTGGTAAACATGATATTGTCAAGGTGCAAGCTGATCACTGGGTGGACCTCCCTTTATAGCCCAAAAAGCCATGCCTTCCTCCTTTGAATTCCAGCAGGAGTCTTTGAAAGGTTGCAATAATTTCACTCTCAGGTACAGTAAGAACAATCAACAGGAGACTTTTAAGCCCTACTGTGAAGGGAGTCAGTTACACTCTTTTACCATGTTTGTTTTGACACCTTAAAGATCTAAGGTGTCTGCCCCTGACTTCTTTCTCTGTTCCGTTTCTGCATTCCACCGCCCTGACATCTCCCAATATTATTCTTTGAGCTGTCAAAGACATCTCCATGGTGACGCTGGATCAACAGAACCCATGTCAGAGGTATTTAGTTTTAGTAGTTAAAATGAATGACATCCCAGTTGTTTACAAATGATCACATAAAGACATTATTTTCACTTTGATCATTTGGTATGCAGCTGTAGAAGCAGTATGTATGTTGCAGTAATCTTTTCTATTGATCTTATTTGCTTATTTGATGACCAGGACAAATAGGTGTCAAATTAGTTTATTTGTTCATCCATTTATTTATCTTTTTATTTGTTTGTTTGTTTATTAGTTTATTCATTGTTCATTCAGGAGCTCAAGTGCCTTGTAGCTTCATGGTTGGAGGCTCAAATCCTGCTCTGTGGATTTTGCACGTCAGCCCTGTGTTGAGTGGGTTTTTACTCAGTGTCCCTAAGTTACTCACGGCCTCCCTAAGTGCACCCTGCACTGGCCTGGCTTCCAGGCTGTCCCTACACTTTGTGTCCTGTGCCGCAGGGGATGGGGGCCAGGCACTCTCACAACACTGTATCACATAATTAGTTGGAAGACGGGTGGAATTTAATACTGTCCGTGAATTTGGGAAGGTAATATGCTTTAGGGAGAAAGCTGACACTTATAAAACTGCCATTTATAAAACCAATTTAATATCTAGTACTAAAAAACAGCCTAACCGCAACTATACAGCAATAACATCCATCTAAAATAGCGTTTACGTTAACTAACCCTAAAACACACAAACACAAATGACATTTCCATCATTTTCAATTCTGATCGTGACCAATGCAAATATTTCACTATTGGTGGCATAATTAGAAAAGTATATCCGGCTATTCTCATTCTGATTGATTGCGTTTTGGTGAGAACCAGGAGTATAATATCCAATAATATTAATATCCATTAATATCCAATAGCATAATAAACCTGGATCGAGTTGTTTAAATAATTCTGTAATCATTCAGCTACCACAACAGTGAAGAATGTGGGTGGTTTACAGAAAGTCTTGAGGGTGATCGCAGTTACCAGAGATTTGCGTTTTATTAATTATGAATATTTTAGTAATAACTACACGTGCTCGTCCCCCGTACATCTCTCTTCTTCATTCCATTTGCAGCAGAGCTGGAAAATAGAAATGCAGTGGTGGCAGTCATGTGTGGAGCAAATTCCTCACGACAGCCAGTGTGATAAAAAAATAAATAAATAAATGACATGACAGAACAAGTCAGGTAAGATATCAACACGAATCTCACAACTGATTAGATCTCAGCTCTGATCTTATCCCTTTGATGGGTTGCAAAAGAAATTATATAAAGTGCCCGGAAGATTCATATAATATAGACTCGAGCAATTTGTAGGTAATTTTATTAGAAAAGCCAATTTGCATGTTATTTAAAGTTTGGTAAAGATTGCTTGAGGTTTACTATTTGGTTTTAACATTCACGATACCATGTGGTGTAAATTTTAATATCAGGGAAATGCAAGCTGAAAACCTTACATCCATCAATCGGAATGCTTCCTTGTTTTGCTGATGAGTTTCAAGTAAACCATTCCCCGTTGGGGTTAGTCCAGTCCAGGTTTTATCCGAGCTTTCGCTGGGCGCTCGGGTGTCGTCTGACATCTGATTTTAAACAGGGAGGGTGACATATGAAAACGGCTTTCAGGTTTTAATACTGATGCAGAGCATCAAGGAGACACCCAGATAAGCGACCTTCTCGAGGGGAACCTGCGCACTTACCGTCATTATGTCGAAGGAGCAGAGCGCAAAGATCAATGGGAGTCCAGCCGCGACGTAAGTAATCGATTGTTACTGTAAACGTCTTCTTGGGGTACCTTGTGATTTATTTACTTAATTTGTTTATATTGTTTATGTCGTTTATATATTGTAAGTAGACATAAGGAAGTAAACAGAGTAATATGATATAAATAAATAATGTCTGCTAATTGCACAGACTGATTCTACAACGTGATATTTAGCAAATCATTTACAGTGCGTTCTAAGTGCAGGTGTACAGGTTCTACACTTTACACACGCATTCCGTTTTGATGGCTTCTCTTACTGAAACTGGTGGACCATTATCCAGTGTTCTGCATTCTAATGCTAAATAGAGACTTTAAAAATGTTTTTGGAGTTTCACCTGACTTGTCGCTGTAACTGCTGCTGAAGAGTTCCGTTTTTTCGGTCAGTCCATTATATGAATGTGTATCAAAAGTCACAGTCTCTGTAGATTTGAAGTTGCGAAGGGTAAGGATGGAAAAAGTGCTGAAAGAAGATTCTACGGCAGAACTTTACTGTTTGCAGCAATATTTTTCATGTTTGCGTATACAGAAATGTTTTATTATGGTTTTATTTTGTATTTACATTTATTTTGTTTTCAGTTACATTTACTAAATGAAAAACTTTAGAATGCTAGCTGTAATTGAAACATTAGCAGTAGCCTATAAGTAAATAAAGAAATACATTTTCTTTTCTGAGAATTTACAGCATAAATTAATGTTGTCACTCAATATATTAAAGGGCATTTTCATAAAAATATTGCTTATTCTTACATTGCTTTATCTTAATGTGATACTTTTACAACTTCGTGCAATTTAAAAATCAAGTTTATGTGTACAATAGTTGCCAAAATTGTGGAAACACATAGCATTTTTGGCATTATGCTTTAAAAATTACTACTGGAACACGGGTGGTATTGTTCATAAACAATAAAGGAATGTTTACAAATATCATACATTGGACGTTTAAATAAGTAACTGGAGCAACAGTTGAATATAATTCTGCAATCTCTAAAAACTGGACGTGTTTCCACAATTTTGGCCAATAGTGTGCGTGTTATACCTAATATAAACCTGTTTTTTGACATTGTGGGGACCATTTTCAAGTGCCCACAAAGATTCGTGAATGCAATCAAAAATGTAAAAACGCCAAAAGTCTCATATTTTGTTTGGTTACTTATGGTTAAGGTTAGAGCTGGGTAGGGGTTAAGGTAGTCATGTTGGGATTAGAGTTTTCCCCATAGATCCCCGCAAAGATATAATTACAAACCTGTACAAAAATAAGACACATACTCTCTAGCACTTACTGGCTCTGTAGCTGGGTTTGTTACTTTTATACATAAACACATTTTGGCTACACAAAGAAAGCATTAAAACTGCAACTTTGTGTAAGGTTACATTGTCTAGTGCTGCTGGCTTTTCTGGCTGCAAGCTAGGCATGTCTTTGTAAACAACGGCAGGTACAACTATGCATGGAAGTCAAATAGTTATCAGCAAAGGTCATAGCGCTTTTAAATTCCATTTGTGCCTGACTACTTTGGTGTTATGTTTAGTTTTGTTTAGTCACATGTATTAAATTGACACATTTACAAAGTGACAATGAACTAAATCCTAACATAAGAAACACGTACTCCATGACACAAGGGGTGAACATGCAAAATACACAGGACTGCACATGGCCAGTATTTAAGGAGCAGGATCTTCTACCTTTAAAGGGAGGCACGTTACATAGTTTGGGAAAGAAGAGCAGGTGCTCAGGCACCCCCAGCCCCCCGCAGGTGCCTGTTCAGAATCATGCCGTAAGGTGAGCAGCATTTTTACACAGTGCAGTAACCTGGGCTGATGGGCTCCTCCCTGTATCGGATAAACAGCTGGAAGATTGCCTGATGTTAGTAAATCAGAAATACCTCTAAGAGATTAAATGTTATACCGTACTGATGTCAATCACCAGTCAGCATTTTTCTGCGGAAGAGTTATTAAATTCCTTTAATATTTTACCTGTAAGCGCTAGACATAGAGCTTCTCCTTCAGAAAAGTGTTTTCATCCTGCCATCCATCTATACATACATACATACATACATAGATACATACATGCATACATAAATATATACGTGCATGCATACATACATACATACATACATACGTGCATGCATACATACATACATACATACGTGCATGCATACATACATACATACATATGTGCATGCATACATATGTGCATGCATACATACATACATACATGCATACATACATACATACATAGATACATGCATATATACATACAAGGGAAATCAGATAAGATAAGGAATATAAGCATAATACAAGTGGTACACAATGGTAATACAAGTATAAAGACAAAAATAAATATAGCTGTAAGTGGTGATTATTGCGGCCAGAATAGACACATTGGCCACATTTAATGCAAAATGTTCCACTGAAATACCTATAAATGAATGTGTATTAAGTATAGAAGTATAGAAAGTACAGAAAACTTTTTGTCTACATGGTCTCAGTGTGCTGCAGTTCAAATTTTGTGTGAATCAGATGAATGGTCTAGGGTGAGTTTGAAAAAGTAGATTTTTCACGTTATGCAAATTAGCAAAAAATTTAAGGTGGAGGATCATAGTGCCATTTGCAATATTTTTTGTCATGAGCCACAAAATGTCTGGATAAAACAATATTGGTCCTATGACTCACAGTTACAGAGATAAGCACAACTTAAAACACTGCACTACAGCGCCACCATCAGCCTGATAATTTTGCTTGCCTGAGTAGCAGGGGGAATTCTGCAGCACTCAACTAAATCTGATGTTTCTATACTTCACAGTCTTTGCTCCCCATATCGTTTAATGCAGAAGAAGAAGAATACAAAGAAAAATCCTAGCAAATACAATAGGGTTCCACTGCTGTGCTTAGACCTATAAAAAAGATGTGCAACTAAAGTGGGATTTTGCATGTGTAAAGGGTGTTAAGGGGTACTGTGTCATGGGCAGAAATACAGGATAACTTACACATGTGCAAAAGAATGAAACAAACTAATAAATACTATTAAGAACTAAGGCCAAAAGTGTCAGGAAAGCAGCAAGCAGTGAGAGGAGTTATACACATCTGTCAGGAGACCTCCTGACCAACACACCAGACACACACCGGTACTGGGAGCGTTAGACTCCCTCCTAACCAACACACCAGACCCACACCGGTACTGGGAGCGTTAGACTCCCTCCTGACCAACACACCAGACCCACACCGGTACTGGGAGCGTTAGACTCCCTCCTGACCAACACACCAGACCCACACCGGTACTGGGAGCGTTAGACTCCCTCCTGACCAGCCCCTGTTGTCTTCCGGACACTTTTGTCCCTCTTTTTAATAGCATTTATTACTTGTCTGTTTCATTCTTTTGTAAAAGTTACCCTGGTACTTGCAGAATCCTCCCAGCTGAAACTCATACAGTAGAGAGAAAAGCAGAGTTTAATCTGCTGTCTAATTCATTGATTTGTTTTATGGGCTGTGATCTCAGAAAACCTATCACAGAACCAACAGCGGTGACTGACAAAGTGGAGAAGGCCATCGCCGAAGCTGAACAAAACCTGGCAACAGTTACGTGAACACCCGGCTTTACCTAGAACCTGAATTCCATCTGGATTCTTGATGATATCACAGTGAATTCTAATTGGGTAAAAATGGCCTATTTCAGGATTTGAGTTTAATCAATGAAGGAAAGGATCCACAATACCAGGATGACAGCAAGGAGAAGATTCTGGAATCTCTTGAGCTGCTGAAGAACCTGAGAAACGTTATCAGCGACCTCAAGCACCCTCAAGCAGAAACAATCAAGAAAGAGTAAGTTTGATAGGAATATTCCATCCATATATTTTTCTGTGGGGCGGCATGGTGGGACAGTGGATAGCACTGTTTCCACACACCTCTGGGATCAGGGTTTGAGTCTCCACCTGGATTACATGTGTGTGGAGTTTGCATGTTCTCCCCATGTCGTCTTGGGGTTTCCTCCGGGTACTCCAGTTTTCCTCCAAAGACATGCTGAGGCTAATTGGAGTTACTAAATTGTGAATGGTGTGTGATTGTGCCCTGTGATGGGCTGCCCCCCCGTCCTGGGTTGTTCCCTTCCTTGTGCCTGTAGCTTCTGGGATAGGCTCTGGACCCCCTGCAACCCAGATGGATAAGTGGGTTGGAAGATGGATGGATGGATGGATCTATTTTTCTGTACCTGCATGCTCTGAAATAGAAATATTCCTAAGAAAAATTTGTTCATGAACTCCCCGAAAGGTTGAAATACAAATCTGTTTTAAGTCTTTCAAAACAATGAATCCATTTCTATTAATGAATAGTGTTTCTGACATAATGCTTAATATACTATACACTGGATAATCAACAGACATATAACGGGTCTTTTTCTTTCTCCCAAGCATCATACAGCTGGAAGAGAGAGTGAGGAAACTTCAGATGGACCATGAGAGAATGTATAATTCAAGGTGTTTAGAAAGGCTCTGCAGTGATGACTGGGAGAAAATCATTGAGGAGAAACAGGTTATTATGATACCAGACAATCTCTTATTTCCCTGCGACTATAGGTCTAGCAGTCTCCTGGCTTAAGGATGTGTGGTGTTGACTTTGTCTGACAGGCGAGTCTGAGCAGCAGCAAATCTGGGCCTGACTTAACCAACATGGAAAGCCAGATGAAAGAACACATTGCCTTCCACGATGAAATTGAAGCGTGGGGACCTCTTATAGCTCAGGAAATTGACAAGGTGAGCAGCATTACATTATCGTGTTGTCAGTTAATAAGCATGAAACTTGTGACTTGTGAGTCTGGCATTTATTGCAAGAGATTTATTGGGTGTTGTTTTATTTCATAAGCTTTAATTTAGGTGCTGATGGTCTTCATATTTCTTATTTTCTGCAACAGGGCAAATTCGCTGACCTACAGCTGAAATACGATAAGCTTCTGGTAAGAACAGCTTTGTTCAGCTCAGAAACTTAAGAGGAACCTCCCTTTGCTTATAGGCAACCAGACAATAAAGGATTCATGCATATGAAACATAGCAGGAAGTTTGAAAACCCCAAGCGGCACATGAAGCAGAGCTGATTCTAGGCGTGATCGCCAACTGAAGCTTCTAACACGTTGGTATCTGTGGCTGAAGGATATATACGCCTTTGCAGAGAATGACAGCTGAAGAATGGCAGCTATTGTTGCTCTTAGAGCAAGACAAGTCAATAATGAATTACGACTTAACTGACCACTGTGGAATATTATAGTAGGATTTTATAGGATAGAAACTTGGACAGAAACTCAACCTCCCTTAATTAAGCACACTATTACAATAAATTAATGTATAGCAAATATATAGCATTAAACAAAGGATTGATCAATTGGGGTGATCAAAAGATTCTTTCATTGGTTGACATAATCTTGTTTTTCCTGATGGTCTGTGATCAGTGTCCCGCTTTAGTGTCTGGATAAAGCTCTGTTACACATATAGAATGTTGGAAAGAAGGTTAAATGTGAAACATTATCAGGAAATCAACTCCTTCTTCCAAAGATCGCTTCTGGTTTAGTCTGTAAGATGAACAGCTGAATCTAACACCATCCAGCAGACACCCAGCTGTCTCACTCTTTCAGGTTTCATTGTGTAAATAATCCGCTGACTTTTGGTCCATTCATGTACAGCTTGTAAACAAATGATAAGCACATTACTCTTGATGTTGCACGAATTCTTTAAAAACAGGGGCGAAATCCCTTCAGGCAGTGTTGTCAGTGCCGAGCCGCCATTGCAGGACAGCCAGTCTGAGGATTGATGAGCGATTGTAAAATGCATCAAAAGTAGTTTGCCTTTGTTCTGCTGAATTAAAGACTGCTTGAAATAAAAATTGAGATGTATACCGCTTCAGATTATGCCCTAGCCTGGAGCATACTTTGACAAAAATCGATAAATAAACTGAAACTCTAAAAATCTCGAGAAAACTACTCTGCAGAGACATGTAACTAAGCCTACTGAGGTATAGTTCGGTTCTGCTGTTGGAGTGAAACTGTTTGTCGTGGAGACTTGTGTCTCATTTAAAACAAAGAAAACCTATTAATGCCCTGATTTCCCTAGAATCTCCATCTCATTGGTTCTGAAACAGGTTCCTATGAAACTACAGTTGAAGCATAATTTCTGATCCCAGGTCAGCTCATGTGCGCGACACCAACACCTGCTCACCTTGCGGGACTACATGGTCCGCTGCACCGTCGAGCTCTTCTGGATGGAGCAGCAGGCGGAGGAACGTATCAGCAACGACTGGAGTGATGCCAACCTGGATTACCCATCCCGGCAGAAGCAATACGAGGCATAATTCATCATTCATTTTGCATTGAGGGTGGCAGGCATTCTGGGAGATAAAGTAACTAGAAGTTTCAGTAACACTTTACTTGAAGCACTCACAATGCATAATAATGGTCAGTATATGTCTCTATAATGCATTATGAAGGTACATATTTATAGATGAGAGCTTCATAAAACATTCATAATGCATAATACTGGTTAGTATAAGCATTGATAATGTATTATGAAGGTATGTATTTATAGTATGTTATAGATGAGAGCTTCATAAGGCATTCATAATGCATAATAAACATGGCTATAATGGGTTATGGCTTTTTATAAATAGTTATTGCCATGTTTATAGTGTTGTATGAATGCATTATAATACTTTATGAGTGCTTTAAGTAAAGTCTTACTGAAGTTTCTGACTTGCAAGTGACTATGCTGTAACCTCGAGAGGATGACCTAAGACTAAAGAATTCAGAATTTAAAAAAACAAAACAACCAAAGATTCATTAGAATTGTAAATGGTGTATGAAATTGCCATGGTCCCTGAATTGTTTAGATTTGTTCGTCTACGTACCTGGATAATATATTACGTTGTTGACGTCCTGTTGTTCATAACAGAAGTTCATCAGCAAGTGTCTTGAATCAAAGGAGATCACAGTTTCCAAACTGATTGATGACGGCGAAGCACTCATAGCTGTTAATCACCCGACCGTAAACGTTATTCAGGTACATCCATCTATCCACGGCTGATCGTAGTGAGAGTAGCGCCCCCTTGTCTGAATGGCCGGTACTCACAACCTTCTTCTGTAGGCACACATGGAAGCGGTACTGGCAGAGTGGAAGGACTTCCGTGGTCTGCTTACCTGCGAGGAAAAGCACCTGAGGAACATGGAGGATTACCACAGAGTCAGTGCAGCCTGAAAGCACATACAGTAGCCCAGCGTTTCCCAGTCCGGTCCTCTGGGACTCAAGGACAGTCCAGGTTTTTGCAAAAAAGTGGAATGGCTGGCAGGGAGCTCAGAGGAAGTATACAGTATGATTATTCTGTTGAGGCCAGGCTCAAACCAGCAACCTTCTAGGCATTGACACAGACACTTATACCACTGAGCCACACACCATCAGCAAAACACAAATCCCGACAACTTTTTAACAGAGGATGGTTTCAATCAATTAACTTCAGGGTTAGGGACCCAGGATCAGCATCACTCTTCTCGATTTAAAACAATAATAATCATTTTCATGGTTTACGAGGGTAAAAACAGTGACGAGAAGCAGCTAAAGGCTCATCTGCAGAGTAACTTTGACGCAGTTAGTAATTACGGTGTAATGAGATCTGTTTTGCTAGTGTGGGTTGATACTGTTTCGCCTCTCAGATGAGACGGGTGTGTTTTTATGTGCAGTTTCACAGGGAAGCACGGGACGTCCGGGACCTGTTACAAAGGATCGACAAAGAGCTGAGCCACAGATACAACCCACAGTTCAAGGACGCGTACCAGATAGAGGTCCTCATTTCAGACCTCGACGTGAGTTACATTTCTCCTCCGCCTGTGAAGTTCCTTGACACTCATGCATGAATGCAAGGGGTACGCCCTCCTGACCCATATGAATGTGTGAGCCAGGACTTGGTGGGAGCTATGGACCAGCATGAGAAGCGGGTGGAAGTGCTGCAGGCGCAGAGTCAGGATGTGCTTCCCCTGAAGGTCCGCAGGAAGATGCCCATGGAGCTCCCCCTGGTGGAGGCCCTGTGCAACTTCCACACAGACCAGGTTACCTGCCCTCTTCCTTGTCACTTGAGCCTGAGTGTTTAGTATACTGCTCTACATGTGATATATTATATTATGCTGCACTGTGTTACCCCCTCCCCCCCCCATTGTTTCACTAGGTACTGTTTGTCTCACCCTGTTTTCTACTGTAAATGATATATTACATTGTCACTTTTGTTAAATGTAGCACTGTGAGGCCGCATGAAGGCCTCTCATTTCACTGCACACATGTGAAACAACAAATTAAACATATATTTGAATAAGGTAAACTTTAACCTGTAAATTGATTTGTCTAGAAAACTAATGGGGTGGTGTGTGGGTCAGAGGGGTAGAACACAGTACCTGTGATCGGAAGGAGGTTGGGTCAAATCCCAGGGGCAGCTGAGTGATTGGGGTAGAACACAGTGCCTGTGATCAGAAGGAGGTTGGGTCAAATCCCAGGGGCAGCTGAGTGATTGGGGTAGAACGCAGTGCCTGTGATCAGAAGGAGGTTGGGTCAAATCCCAGGGGCAGCTGAGTGATTGGGGTAGAACAACTACAGTATTAGTGCCTGTGATCGGAAGGAGGTTGGGTCAAATCCCAGGGGCAGCTGAGTTATTGGGGTAGAACAAGTCCCTAGAGCTGGTTTTGCAAACCCTGATTGCCACAATCAGCGTTAAACAGCACTGTGACAGTGGTGGTTAATTTGGGGCCTGTGTGTGTGTATGTGTGACTAAGAGTCACTTTTTGATAGGTAGGATGTAGGTAATCCTTCCCCCTTTATCGTCAGCACCCCTGCCATAAATGGACTGGCACCAAATATCAGTATCTGCATAAAAACATTTTATATGTATCCGATTAAAAAGCAAATCAGTGATATTGCCATCCCAACAATTCAGTCCATGGGTGGCTCTTGTATAGGCTACGTTTTTGGTGAAAGGGGGGGGGGGACTGATGCCTGATTTAAGCCAAAAGCCTGCACTTAAACCATGTAAATTACCATGGCAATATGCCCTGTTTAATATGAGCTATGATTCATAGTACCCAAAACTCAGAAGTAAGCTTCAAAAAACCTCGCTAAGCAAATTAGCCCACTATGCAGTACACTCTGGGCACAGGTTTACAATGTGAATGTACACTACCAGGCAAAATTTGCATGTTACTCACTTAACATTTACTAAAATACACTCAATATTCTTTGCTAAGAAATACATTTACAGTATGGTCACTATTTGAGTACGTTTATTAGCAAGAAATTGCCATATCTTTGATTCATCAAAGTTTGAGGCATTCTTTCTACAAGGGACATTTCATACTACTCTGCATAACTAGTGGATTTAAAGTTAAAGGTCAGCCTAGATCACCGGATCACCACACAACTAGTTCATAAGATGTCAGACAAGCACTGTTACATTCTCTTTCCATGTTATAAAAGAAACGTGTTTTATTTGACTTATATTTTCATTTATAGTTGTTCACTCAGCTTTCCAGTGCTTCACAAGAATAAAAAAGAAAATCAGCAGTTTATGAAATAAATGGAAAAGTGGCAAAAACCTTTGACTGGTAGTGTATGTAAACAATACTCAGTACAGCAGCAACATTGTAGGGAGTAATAAATAAAGACAAAAAGTAGCAAGAAATAGAAAAATAATAAGTTAAAGTGTCCCTGAGCAAAAGGCCCTTAATCCCCAATGGTGCCAAGCACTGGCTGCCATTCTCAAATATGTCATAAATAATCGTTCTTACTCTGTAGGAGTGTAGAGGAAACTGGAGTTAGTCAGTGATACATATCCCAGATTTTCATTTACACAGGGAACAATAATCAAAGGTGAGACCTACACCCTTCTTAGCATCGGCAGACGGAAGTGGAAGGTGCTGGACCTGGCAGGGTGCCAGCTGTCCGCCCCGTCGGTGTGCTTCCTCGTTCCCCCCACCGACCCGGAGGCCGTCGCTCTTTCCCAGAGGTGCATATACACACCATTGACTTGTTTATGCACCTTCTGCAATATGGGGCTCAAATGTAACTTTACCATAACCGTCTCTCTTTGTAGCATAGCTAGCCTGAAGAGTGATATCAGAGAAAATATTTCTAGAAGCAAGGATATACTACAAAAACGACTAGAAGAACTTAAGAAAGAGAAGCCGGGCCTTTCTGGTACATAAGCTTTAAATGTATTTTTTTATTATGTCTATTATTTATATTATTCAGGTAAAAGATCAGTCAATGATAAAAGTAATGTTTACCCTGTTGGTTTTGCTTTTACTATAAATTGGACCCAAAAGCCAGTGAAGAGCAGCTTTGCCTTCGGTTGATGGCTAACCTGGAGAAAATCAATAATGATCTCGACAAACAAGAAGAGAGCATCTACACTGTTTTGAGACCCCCACTACAGCAGAATAATCCATTCCAGGACAGTACAAATCGGATCAGAGCCCTCAGGGTAACACACTTTTTAGTTATTTTGTAAAAACTTTTTACTATTTACTTTTTATTTAAACATTTCAGTAGAACGGGACTTACACACCCAGTTATGCTTTTATTTATTATGGTTACCGTGACTAATTAACACTAAATTCTCAGTATGAATAGGTTTGTTGTCATTGTAGGACATCAAGGCTTGCATTAAGAAAATCGAGCTTGAGAAAAAGTCCAAAGTCCAAGAGGCGGAGAGGCTCCTAAACTCTCACCCTAAGTGTGCTGGTGCCCCTCAGCTCTACGCAAAAGTGAACGAGGCCGACGATAAATACAACAAGGTCAACGCGCTGCTGAATTGTGCAGAGGACAAGTATGGCTCTTCATCTCAAAACCACTGCCGTGAAATGAGCATTGTAAAAATCTGCTTATTAAATCCAACAGCTGAGCGGTTTCTTGTGTCCGACAGGTTTATGAACTCCAGCAAACTGGAAAGCTCTTTGAGCACCATAGGGGAGGTACTGAACACTTATGAAATGACTCTGGCAGAGAAGCAAGTTATGCCATCGGACCTGTCTTCCCTTGAAAGACTGCAGGAGTATCTTTTTGTAAGTTCTTAATAGATTTTGAAGGTTAACTACTGTACAGATCCTCCTTTATGGATAAAGTAATATGTTAGTGGCAATGGAGACTGTATATTTTTAAAATGGATTGTATTGAGCAGCATAACAAATACAAAATTCTCCTGTTAGGAGCTCCTATTTTCCTCCAATGAGGAACTTTTTTTTGACATGTGACCAAGAACCACATAAAATTACATGCACAACTCAAGCTGATAACTACTGCAGCTAAAAACTGTTTTTCTGTTTTCAAAGACAATATGCTCTGATCTGGAATCCAAAAAATCTGCTTTCTACGAGGCCGAGATAAATCTTGGAACCCTCAGGTCCTGCTGTGAAGGCATGGTCAGCAAAGTTCAGGAGCACTGTCCTGATATCAACAGGCAGCAGGCAGAGGTCCACAGGCTCAGGAGGCATCAAGAACTTGTCAACAAGCAAGTTGAGGCCAGGTGAGCAGGCTGTCTAGCACAGAACCGTGCAGTAGCTGGTGGTGTTGGGCGTTTGGGACATCTGTCAATGTCGTCATTCACTTAGCTATTACACAACCAAACCCAGCTGTTTCATTTTCTCTGGAAGGTCTAAGAGTCTACAAAAAGCTAAGACTGCTTTAAGCAACTACAGCCGTTTGTATAACGAGCTAAACGATTGGCTTTGCCAGCTACCCAGCTATGAGCCTCAGGACAAAGACAATGTCCAACAACTGGATTCCAAGCTGAAAGAACAAAGAGTAAGAACTGGAACAATTCAAGATTAGATGAAACTGCTTGCTTTCTGATACAAGCAGTTTAAGTCCAATGAGTATTTAACATGTGTATGTCTCATCCAGAATTCAATATGATGTTTCCTTTTTTCTGCCACAGAATCTGATCGCTGATATTGCAAGGAAACAATCGGACTTGCAAGAGGTTTTAAGAAATGCATGGTTGTACCAGCAAGCTGTCGAGGTTAGGGGGATGATCTTATAAATGGGAAGAGCAAATAATAACTTCCATCACTGCCTGATTAATGCTTGGCCTTTGCAATATTCTCACTTCTAATTTTCTTAACTTTTCAGGACTATGAAACTCAGGCACGTCAGTTGAACACATTCCTTGACCTTGAGGATGGTCTGGTCATGAAAAACATAAATATGCTTGAAAGTACAGCTCCCAGTCTCAAAAATGAGGTGAAATGGCTAATTGTACAAGAAATATATTGCTAATCTATTTTTGCATAATACTGATATGAACTTGAACTTGAAAATAACATAATAATGTGAATAATTAACATCATGTTTAATTATGTCTTTATAAGTACAGTATAAATACTCATGAATATTAACATTCTGCAGGAATCTGTGTTAGAACATAAATTTCTGGAAGCTTCTGCCATAAACAAACAAAGACTTCAAAGCCTCGACTATGCACTAAATCTATTAAACCAGGTAATGAATTTTCCTTTTGGATAAATACAGTGGTACCTCAGTTCTCGAACTCATTAGTACTCGAATTTCTTAAAAGTCGAACCAACCAGTTCGAAAAAAAATTAACTCGAGCTGAATCTCAGAAGTCAAACCGTGAACGCCGACCTAAGATAACTTGTACGCGCGGGGAAATGAGTCATGCAGCACGTCTCTCAGCGGAAACAAAGGGTAACGCTTCAGTCTCAGCCTCGCATTAGCTGTAATAGCATTATGCATGTTTACACTAGCTGAATACATACTGTATATTTAGACAGTAAAAATACATTTAGACAATGATAGACAGTAACAGTAATTATTATTATATAATAAAATACATTTAAAAATAAATATTTCTTATTATTTTAATTTTAATAGTAAACCATTAATACATTTAATTATAATAATATTGTCGTGCCGAGCGGGGACGGAACAGAGACAAAGGCGCAGACGTCAGGGTATCGGGGAATACGGGGTTTTATTACAGGTAAGGCAGGCAAAACGCAGACGGACAATACAATGACCGGACTGGGGAAACAAACTGAAACGCGGACGAAATACAGAGGACTAATGACAACAACCAGAAACAGCTGATCACACGGGGATTCCACACGGGGATAACAAGGGGGCGTGGCACACGGAAGGAGCGGACGATGGGGCAGAACACATTGTTTTTTTTAACTTTACACATTGTTTGGATACATTTATTTTCTTACTTTACAAATTACTGTTTTGATAAATGTGCTTAGATGTGTTTAGTACAGTATATGCTCGTCTTGTTTTATCTGGTTCGTTTTGTGTTTAAATGCTAAAAAAAAAAAAAAACATATTTAGGTGTAATTTTTCTGGGGCCGGGAACCAATAAATTGGTTTTCCATTATTTCTTATGGGGAAAATTCGATCACAACTCAAACTTTTTAGGATTTGATCTGGAGTTCTGAACGGATTAAATTCGAGTTCTGAGGTACCACTGTATATGGAACATGTAATCTATGTATAAGATAAAATGCATACTGGTATTTGTTTACAAAATGCCCATTAAATATTTCAGCTTTTTTCAAGGACATTCATGTCATACTGAGTAATATTAATAGTAAAATTGTACTGACAAAATAAGATTGTGATATATGAAGAAGGTGAGAAAAGAAATCCCATTATAAAGACATATTTATCTTCCATGTCACAGCAGAGCGTCCCAGAACAAAAAAGTACTCAAGATGAAATATCTCTCATGGAAGGCCAAAAACCACAAGATATCATCATGAGGAGAAAATTGGAGGAAGAGATCCAAAAAGTCCAACTGGGACTGTCTGAAGAGCAGAGGCTGAACCGGGACCTACAACAGGAGCTGGAGCTGCTCAGTTTAAAATGTTATAGCCTGGAAACAGAGAAGAGGGAGGAAGATGCAGCAAAAGAGACACTCAGCAATGGACAGGACAGGGAACAAGACATCTCCAAGGCCGTCAATGAGGCAGGGTTTGAGAAATCGTCCAGAGAGCTGCTGGAGCACATACGTGAAGAAACCACCAAGAGAAAACAGACTGAAGAAGAAGTGAAGCTCCTTCAGGAGAAACTGAAGGGATTAAAGAACAATGAGGCCGCAGCAACCATCCCTGAGACTGAGAAAGACAAGGAAACAGAAGTGCAACAGCTAAGGAACAAAATTCTAGACAAAGGCCATGAAATAGAGAAGTGTAATTTGGAAATTCTTAAACTGAGAGATGAGATTCAAACATGTAAGGCTGCAACGCTTCTTGTTAGGACTGAAGAGATTACAAAGGAAGTTATTCAGAATCACGGTGATTCAGATGCAAAACAGGAGTTAGAAACTCTCCGGCAACAACTTACTCAAGAAGAGAGCAGGTATTTAGACTTGGAGAAAGAGAAGTCAGCTCTTCAGCTTCAGAAGACATCCCTCTTACAGACCCAGGATAACGTCGACCAGCAGGAAGTTGGTAAACTGAAGGAAGACCCACTTGTGAAGTCTGAGCGCGCCACCTTTCCTGAGAGCATCACCAATGGAAGGAGACTAAGAGAAGCTCTTGGAGATGACCTGTGTGAGCTCCAAAGTCAAAACTCTGATTCAGACATTCAGCTGGAGGAGCTCGAGCGAGAACAAACAGCCCGGAAGAGAGTCGAGATGGAAGTGCAGATGTTGAAAGATCAGCTCAATGGCCTCGAAGTCAAGAACAAGGAAAATGATGAGAACATTTTTAAACAAAACGTAGCCCTTCCACAGGACTCCCAAGATGAACGGGAGTATATCCTCCTTAAGCATCAAATTCAGGAAGAGCGAGACAAGCGAATTCTGTTGGAGGATAAGATAAACTCATTACTGCGGCAGCAGGCAACACAGGAAAATGTAGTCCCTTCTGAAGAAGGAAAGAGAGACCCAGTGTTGGAGATAGAGAAGCTGAAGAAAAGCTTAGAGGAGGAGAAGAATCGGTACCATGAGTTAAATGACCATCTGACTGATGTTAACTGCAGACTATCGGATATGGAAAATATGAATGAAGACTTTAACAAAGAGCTTGAAGAAATTCACACTATAAACAATAATTTATATCAGGAGAACCAAAAACTGAAGCAGGAAATTGAGAGATGTGGTGGGGAATATCAGACCACGCTAAACAAGAATGGAAGCATAGCAAATCTGCCTCAGTCACACAACGGGGAAATCATGGAGACACAACTGGCCTCTCTTCAGCAGGAGCTGTCGAACCTCAAGGCCATTGACGACAAGAAAGACCAAGAAATTGAGGAGCTGAAGAAACAGTTATCAGGGGTGACAATCAAGAAGGAACATAGGGAAAATTATCATCGCCGGGCCATTAGGATCATTGACCCAAACACACACCAGGAACTGAAGCCGGAAGAGGCGTGCAGGTGGGGACTTATAGACTGGACCATGTCTGTTAGACTGCAAAGCCAGGAGTGCGACTGGGAGGAGATCACAATACGGGACCCGGATGGAGAGTCATCGGTCCTCCATGACAAAAAGACGGGCAAGTGGTACTCGGTGGAGGAGGCACTGAACGCCGGTAACATAAAGCTTGAACACGTGCAGCAGTACCATGGCGACAGAATGAGCATCGACGAGTTTGGAACCATGGTTTCTGGCCGAAACAAATGACAGTAAATGTAGAAAAAATGGGTTTTTACCCTCACCAGGAAAACCGGTGGGTTGATGAAACCAATAAAAACATTCAAACAGTAACGAAAATTTGCACACACACAGTAGATAGATGTATAACACGGCATAAGCCTGATGATTTGAGGCTCATCTCTTGCACCTATGAAGGCGCATTTTCAATGGCTCCAGTTGGATAACTACAGCTATCAAGTTGCTTTAGATGAAACTGACACAAGCTCACACATGAAACATGTTAAAATTCATTAGCCTTTAAAGCAAGTAAGCCTAATATTCATAAGCAAGGTAACAGACCAGAACATTAAAAAAAAAAAAAAAAAAGAAAAACAATGATCCCCTTGGATCAGAACATTGGTTGCCAATGCATTTGGACAGAGCCATTGAATAGCCCATAAAACACTGTTTAGATGTTGGATCAACTGTATTAATTTTTTTGCACTTAGCCACACGGTCACAATGTGCTGCAGATTGGATAAGAAAGGAGAAGTAATATATGTTGATATACCACTGTATCAAACAAGCCCCCCTCCCCAAATATCATCTTACGTGGAAGTAGCACTCCCTGTAAATTAGGCCAGAGGCCCCTGATTTAAAGGCTTACATGCGATTCACATTATCTCACATCACTCAGTTTATCACATCTCTCATTTGTGGGAACTGCAAGATATAAAGTGACTGATGGGTACAGATAATGGATAGATGAAATTTTAAGACAGGGTTGAAGTGCAGAACTTCCGAGGATGAAAACTATTTTCCCACAAGGGACACAAAAAATACGAGACAATGCTTTTACAGAAAAAAATCTTTATTTTGCGAACAGTTTGCATCTCGTAAATGCAAAAATTTGAAATACAAAACATTAAGCGCTTTATATACAAGTTGGACAGACCTCGTATGCCTTGAAATTTGATCCCACTACAAACAAGTATGATAAAGAATTAAGTGCAATTTCACATTAATGTAGAGCATTGGGTTGTTATATATACAAACATTCAAGTACATGGCTCAAAAATAATCCCATAACTCCTGAGCTTGAACAGTGCAGACATATTAAATTAGCTTACGACCACGTTTCGCTGTTCAAAGAACTCAAAATCATCATTAAGGCAGTGCATCCAAACCCAGTTCTCGGGAACCCAGCTGCGAGGGAACAAAAACGTGGACCATCTGGGGCTCCCCGAGAACTGGATTTGGATGCACTGGATTACGGGACCGGAGTCCTAAAGCTAATACTAACACTGGCTGCAGTAGTCAAATAATAATAGCTAGAATCTCAACTGTGCAAAAACATTTGCTAAAGATGGCAACAAAAAAAAACAAAATAAATACCCAAGCAAATTTAAAAAAGCTATAGAATAAACTTTTGCACTTTATGACAAAGACATCAGGTAATAAATTAATATCAAACTAAATTTGAAATGTGATCCCATAATTATAATGGCAAATAGCTCAACACGTTTACGGTAGAAAGCGGAATACTGTGGGTCGGTATTTACCCTCAATAAGCAGGTTAGATTACCCAGAGCGAGAAGTGTGAAAAAACACTACATAGCTAAGCAACACCACAAATTAAGTACGTTAAAACTGAAGAGTGGTAAAAAGGTACTTAACCCAGAAGTTTTTAATACACTAATTAATTATTATGCTTCCAACCTAAGATAAGTAATCACATGAAATGTGTTATACATAAGAACTGTAGTTGGAGTATTCAGAGTGTTATGGACCTTCAAATGATAATCATGATCTTTAATGAAAAAAGTCACTATTTAGCACTATGACCAAAGTAGCTTAATGGGCAGGGAGAGAAATAAATACTTTATTTCAATATAAACTGGGTCTGAATGTTTCCTTTCGTCCTCCTGCCACTCTCCGGGGTCACTGCACCTTCCTCTGCGCATTGGGGACTTCGCCATGAACTTGGCTTCCATCTAAAACAAGAATGGAAACATTTAGCAACAACAGGACAGTCAAGGCTTTGCGCAGAGATTTTGGTGACTGAAAGGTACTCCTGGGGTGGTGTAGCCCAGTGGATCAGGGGTTTGTGCTCCTGTCCAAAGGTTGTGGGTTCAGAACTTGGTGGGACATAAACATACCACAGTACCATCAGACGCTTGATCAAGGCCCTTAGCCCCAACTGCTTCAGGGATGCTGGAGAAATAAGTGTCCAAAATGTACCTAATTCTGCCTTGGACAACTCTGTGAGTAGTTCAATAGATTTACCTGTATAGACATTCATCCAGCAACTAAGTTCCTTCCACCAGACCAAATTCACATTCTACAATTTTATTGGCAGGCCACTGACGCAATTGCAGATAACCCTGAGACTGACTAAAGGACATAGTCTGTGTCCATTAAGACAGTTTATCCTAAAATTCTAGGCCAGACCAAATATTTAATAGAAAATCGATTCTAGGTTAAACTTCAATATTCTATAAACCGATGAAATAATACAAAAGTTGCTAAAGCTATTAAAATTACAAGGACAATTTTGTTATGTTTTGGAAAGAAATTTCTCAACATTTCAAAATACATAGCGCTGTCTGGGTGGGACAGAATAATAACACACACACACAAGACATACAAAGCCAAAGCTGATGAGCCATATTGCGCCGACGTACTGGGCTGAATGGGAGGCACAGGTACAATGGCCACATGCCAGATTACCTTGCAGACTTTGCTGTAAATGGGAGAGAGTGGATTGAGCGAGCTGTGGTGGGTGGACGGGACTAGAACGCAAACTGGCAAAAAGACCTGGAGGGAGAAGGAAGAAAAAACAAGGGGAGACAGGTAAAGGGGGACAGACGGCAGACGGGCCTGATCCACACAGCGACAGCGATGGGAGAATGGCGTCCAAAGCGGGACGGGATGCACGGGAAGAGACAGGGAGCGGGGACAGACAGATAGAGAGACACCCCCCCGAGCCCGGACATGGGGGCTTACTGTGGGCGAGGCCATGGTTAAAGGTACCCGGGGCCGGTCCTGTGATGACGGCGTCCTTCGAGCCCAGGGATGGGGCCGCTGAGTCCGGCCCGAATGAGAGGACCGGGAAGCTAAAGGTGTGCATGGGGACGATGGCCGGGAGGATGCCCAACGTCCCCGCGGTCCCAAGGCTTGTGCTGCCCATTGAGAGGAGGCTGAGAGACGAGGAGGCGGGGCTGGACAACGTTGGCGCAGAGGTGCTCTTCACGCCCTTCGGTGGACAGGAAGCGAGTCGTTAGCAGATATGACGTCACGCAAACAATTAAAGCTCGTAACTTAAAAAGCGTGACAGACTCACGGCCGGTACTGGCGCGGACGCTGAGGGGACTGCCGTAGCATTAAGAGAAGATGTAAGGAGTCTTGCCACGCCTTGAGAGCCGTTGCCAGAATCCCCATTTTCTCCACAAGGTGGGGCCACCAAAGTGAGCTTCTGGGAGGTGATCTTCTTGGGCGGCGTGCTGGGCAACGGCGACACGGCCAAGACTTGATTCGGGGAAGGGGATTTGTGCGATGCGATGACACTGGTGACGGACGGGAGGGAGCCGGGGACACTCTGCACCAGACGGCTCTGGGAAGCACCGGGCTTGGTCACGGCAGGCAGGGAGAAGGTGGGCTGGAAGGGCGGACTGGGGTTGGTGGAGCTGTGTGGCTTGGGCAGGTAGCTTTGGGGAGCGGCCATCTTGCCAAGGTTGATGGAGGTGACTGCAGCGACACTGGGCGGGGCGGAGGGGTGACCAAGGAAAGCCTGCCCCTTCGAGACTGGCGACTGGATGCCTGGGCAGGCGGGTGCGTACTTGGGTGCCTTGCCCTGGGCGCCACTCAGCAGGTTACCGAGCCCGAACTGCATGGTCGTGGGAAAGCCCTTCTGGTGCTGGTTATGCTGAAGGAAGGATTTGGGGGCCAGGGATGGCACAGGATTGGATGGGGTAGGCTGCGTGGCTTTGGGGAGGGCGTAACTTTTCGCCTTGGCCTGCACTCCGTCTGCCAGCATCTGGCTGGACAGAGTCTTGGGGGATGCCGCCACATCCTTGTAGGCCGGGATGACCAGCAGCTGGGTGCCGTTGGCCTTCCGGTCTGGTGTGATCTGCCCGTGGGTGAGTGCCTGCTCCGCCAGAAGGTTTAGCGGTGACTGTGAGGGAGCACCAGTCGCGCTGGACTGCTTGAGGGTGCTCTTCCGCTCTTCTGGTGGGCCAATGTCCAGGGATGGCTTGCACGTCAAGGGGAAGCAGAAGTCGCCCCCCCCCCTGCCGTCGTGATTGAGGGCTGCCAGCTCCTCTGACACGGCCCCCAGCGAGGGGGGGTTGTGGATCAGGTCCCCGTCCAGCGAATCGTCCATAGTGAAGGCGTGAGAGGGAACCACAGAGCTGGGACAGGGGGCGGCTACGTTAGAGAGGCTAAGGAGGCCACCTGAAGTGGGCATCAACACTGGGGGGGCCACCGAACCAGGCAGGGCAGGACATTTCTTCTCAAGCTTCACTAGTGGTTCCTGAGATTTAGAAAAAACAATATTTTGAACTGAAACTTCTCCGATGATAACAAGAGTTTCTCACGCTGCACTAGTTAGCCGGCAGACAGGATTACAGAAATATTCAACTGCCTACAAACCTTTGTTTTCATTTTCGGAGACGTTACAACCTTCTTCTTTGTCCTAGAAAGAAAGCAGGAACTGTTAAGCTCTCAGGAATTTCAGCACGGTTATCATTAAGGGCTCGTCAGCGAGTCAATCTTACTTACGGCATGCAAGTCATGTGACCATGAACCCTCCTGGTCTCCTTGAACAACGTCCTGTGGAGAGGTGATAGACCCAAAGGCAACATTAAAAAAAGGATGGCTGTGAACAGGAGCTCTTTAGCCTTAAACGAGAAGATGGGGGAACATCCCACAGGGGAAGCTGGTCTTTAGGTCGCTACCTAGCTTGCATCCAGCCTTTGGGCCAAAGCGGCTTGACTTCTGCCTCGAGGAAAGCCTTGAGGTACTCCTCGGCGCTCTGAGACTTATTCCTCTCCAGTTCATACCTGCCGATCTTCAGTTCGACCACCGTGCAAAGAAAGTGCCTGGCGGAGAGAAAACGAGTGTTAACAGAAAACAGAGGAATAAAAAAAAAAAGCAACATTAATTTAGCCACTCACTTCCAGTTCACAGCAGGGAAATGACACCTTGACCTTGGGATTTACTTCTAAACTTGTTTGGCTATTTTCTGAAACGCTTAATGACTAAAGGGACTTTATCAAGCTACCCAGCCCCAGATGGGCCTAAAAAAAGAACAGCAATGCAGATCATGTGACCTTCCGCTCCCTTCCAGCACCAGGAAGGGCTACAGGTTGGCATGTGCGTCTCGTACCACATTACTACTACTACTACTACTACTAC